TTTTTTCGTGCATAATTTAATTTTTTTGGCTCCTATAACTTCCGAATCCTACTTATTAACACAATTTAAAATCATGTTCAAATTAATGGGTACGAAGAAATAAAGACCTTAGTTTACTCACCGACAACAATAAGACGTAAGAAAAATCTTATAAAATACTAAAGATAGTATTTACTCTATTTTCATGATGAAAATAAACAAAATCTGTGTAAGTATACTATATGTAAATAAATTATTCGATTTTTATTTATAATACACCTTAAACCGTCATATTTCAGATGTGGGTTCACTTAAGAGTATTTAATGAATTATAGTATTTAGAATACTAGCCATTATTCAAACTACATTCACTAAATCATGAAACAGCAAACATACAATTTTGATATTTATGTATCTGATTTATTAACTGGACTATAACAATGAAAGTAATTAACACAAAATAACAATTAATTAATTAAAAATGAACTCATAAATAAAAGGAATTATATAATATATTACTTTAAAATTGGAGATAAAATATTAATGAAAAATATTTTACTAAATTCGTTAAGAACATTTGTATCGTTATTGAAATAAAACAACCTGTTAATGTGACCGTACACAATAAATAATAATAAAATAATTCATGAAATATTATTTATTCATGAAATAATTTATACGAATATTATAATTTTATCTATTTCTATTTTGTTGTATATTTAGAATTAGTATATATTACATAATAACTTAATTTAACATTATTAAATATATAAAATGTATTTCATGGTTAGGTTAGTTAGCTAGTTATTTGAAATTTCTCTACACGAGAGAGAAAATCATATTAGGAAAGTTGTATTTAATTTTCAAATTTTTTAGTGTAGGTACCAAAGATACTTTTGAATACCTATTTCACTATCTTTAGTGAGTTTCTGCGATGATCATATTTTGGGGTATGAAGAAGAAATAATGGACATTACCAAAACCCAGTATCCTGTAAATGTTACTGTTTATAATACTTTTTCTTTATTATTTGTAAAATATTTGAGAAATTTAAAGTATCATTACCCAAATGTACTAACTAAACAACTTTGATTTCGGAGAAATCCTTCCAGCCATAATGAAAAAAAATATTATCATATTAAATTGTTAATATATTCCTTTCTTCATTTAGAATCTTAGGATATTTTCACAAAAAATTAACTATTCATAGTTTGAATGTAATAAATACAGATATATAAGAAAAAGCACGATATTTAGCTTACGTATCGAGTTTATTATACATCGAAAGAAATTAATGAAGAAATTAAAATTCAGACTCTTCATTATGTAGTATTACATTATAATTGTGACTTAATTTATGCCTAGTATACTTATTTTAATTATACTTATATTCATTTCAACTAAAATGATGAAATATTGTAATTACCCATCTTAGGTCATTGAAAGGGATTATCGTTTAAGTCTTATTGGTGAACCTATTCAATTTAATAAAATAGCACAACAGAGGTTAATAAACAAGACATTTATGTTATGTCAAGAGTAAATGAATATAGTACTACATGTAACCTGAATAAAATAAGTTATTCTAAATTAAAAAAAAAAAAAATGATTAAAATAACGACCATTGTTATATTTACTCTAATGCAAGAATTAACTAGTCTTATATTAATTAAATATTTAATTCAGCTATAACCTAAGGTCATTGTATATTTGTAGATTAACATATTAATAAATACAATGTAACTGCTAATAGATACTGTGTTCAACATGTCAGTAGCTCCTAGACGGATAACCACTTGTGTTTTAAGCGGCAAAAACCACAAGAGTCAACGAACTATATTACTCTATATCCAACACGTCTTTCATTACGGTCTTAAATCATTAAAGTCTCAAGTATCAAGGATAAACTTAAAACAAACAATTTACTTTTGATAGTAAAAATAACTAAAAATATCTTGTAAAGAAAAAAGATCGAATATGAAAGAACATATATCCAGCAGCTTTTGGAGTAGGATAGTTGTACGTTATTAAATTTGGACGATTTAATGACTACGAAGTTGTCAACAATATTGATTAAAGTTTCAGCTTCAGCTTATGATTTAATTAATTAAGGGTGTATCATTGTTAATTCACTGAAATATATTTACTTACTATTATTACAATTTTATTTCACTTTTAACGCAAGTTTAGACATACAGTATAAATACAAATATGTATTACTACAAATTTTATTGTAGGTACCTACTTTGTTTTGTCTTGTATTATGAAAATACAAAGCCGTTAATTTTTCATGAATGTTTAAAGTTTGAAATATGAGAAAACTAATTATTTTCACGATAAATATTATGATATTTTTATTCTTTTAAATGTTATTGTTTGCATTTATTTTTAAAAAACATATAAGTATTTAATGTCGTCGTTTAACATTTACAGTAGTAATGTAATGATAATAGAAACTTATGCAATATTTATATTATAATTGATAGTCAATAGGTGATTGCATAATTTATGTAGATTTATTATTGTTTACAAATGTATACCAGTAATATGATGATTGGCAAAGGCTAAATCATGATTCCAATGTTTTTTCAGCATTTTAGGACCATATACTCGTATATACAATATTTACTTTTGTGAAACATTTTACTTTTATCCAATATAGTTTTATGTTTTACTTTCTAAATAACCATACATTCACTATTATACATACTGAAAAAAGAATTCATATTATGGTAAACATTTAATGGTTTTTATGTGTTAGTTATAGTTTATTTAAATTCAAGTTATATGCAAAGTAATTGTTTCGACTCCAGCGGTATGAATGAAACATGTGAAAATAAAAAGTTTGATCTGCATTATTACATAACGTACTTAAATAAAATCAAACCATTATATACAAATACTTTTAAGGGTAATACATTTTACGGAAGAAATTACATTATTTTAAAGTTAAATGCTTTAGAACAAACAATAGATACGCATATACCTACTTAATAGTAATATTTTATGTAACCTATTAGTAATAGGTACTATATAAATTGTAATGTTAAATTACCCATTTAAATCAAATTTGAATAGATGAATATAATGGTATTAGAAAAACAATGTAGGTTGAGGTTGGTGTTATTAATTATTATTTTAATAAAACATATTCAACCTTAGTGTTAAATATCTTTTTTTTTTTTAAATGTTGTGTAATGTAACCTAAATATTATTAAATAAAATATAAAAGTATTTGGTGGACTACTATAGAATTAGAAAATATTGAAAAAAGTTCAAAACCTAGCCTTATGACGATACTATATTTTATTTGTTATTGTGTATTGTAAAAATTAATTATCGATAGTTAATATTGTTTACGTATTTAGTTGATATTTTATATAATTTTTAGTTTTTGATTTTGAGTAAAGTAATTGAGTTTAAAAATGTTCTAATATTATTTGATTCTGTTGAGATTATTTTAAAATTTTATTTTAATACATTTTTTATTTCCATTTACATATTAAAATTAAATATAAAAGAATTCAGTAAAGAAAAAAGCAAATTTTTATTTTAAGCAGAAAAAAAATTATTTGGAAAATCAACTTGGAAGTATAATTTTACTTGTTATATTCCTTTTAGAATTGAATGTTTTAAGATTTGAGTTTTATTTCAAAATAAATTGAACAACATTTACAATAGCTATGTATCTCAAAAGTTATAACATTGAAAACAATATTTTTACGAGCACTTCCTTTTTATGTACAATTACTCCATAGTAAAATGTACTTTCAATTAATCTTTATTGCAGCAATGATGATTTATTATTGCTTTCAGATTTAAAGACATCTATTCGATTCTTAAATCTCTTTAAAAACCATTATTCAGATCAATTTTTAATATTAAAAAAAATTGTAATCATATTTTTACATAGTTAACTCATTGTTCAATTTAATCATAGGTTTATTAAACCCTGTAATTATTATATTATTATTATAGTACAATACATTTTATTTGAGTATACTACGTCTTAGAATTGTTTGAATACAAATCATTTGTAATACATAATATTTAAGCACGATGATTTTTTTTTACTCGTTTTGTCATTATCAAATTTAATTCTTAAATTTAATTTATGTAAACAAATAATATTAACAGCCATTTCGGTTTATCATATTTATATTCAAAAATAATGTAAATTGTGAGGATGATTTTATATTCTGTAAATCTAATACACACGTATTATATTCTTTAGTGTTAGTATTAAAGTTTAGAATGGCAGTAAACAGAAAAGCGACGTACTTTGTACTATTAAGGGAAAATCATACAGAAAATAAATACTACTACTAGATTGTGTTAGGAATTATAAAAAACAAACCTATCATGAATTGTTAAGCTACAAATAGAGAAATATGGCTTAATTTAAATTGTAGTGTATTTTATTTTATGAAATATATTTGTATGTATAATTATAATTAAGATTTCTAGTATAAATTACTTTGCTACAAATATAGAAATATGATAACTTAATATGGCTTATTTTAAATTATAGTGCATTATAAATATATGTATATTATACACACATGGTCACATGGATGCTGTAACTTGTCTTGTAATTATATTTTGATGAGACTCGTCCAAACTTAGGAATAATTTTTTTGTGAACTTATGAATGGAATAAAAATCATCAAATAATATATTTTATTTTGTAGCTTCATGAAGCAATAAATATTTTAGCGTTAAAAGTTATATTGACAAACAATAAAGTATGTTAAATATTTTTGTTTAATTATTAAATTCCTACATTTAAATAAAAAAATAGTCTACAACATTTACATTATTTTTCAAAATTTACAGATCACATAGTTTATTGTGATTGGTTTACGATATATTTTTTATTTTAGTAGGGTATGTTCTAAAAGCATTAACACGATATATGCAGTACCTACCTAATTTGTGTGTTTAAATAACATGAAATTCGTCAATTTCTTATCTGTTTTTTTCAAATCTTAATGAAGTGGTTTTTTTTTTTTATATTACAGTTCATTGGATCTTTAGATGTCCCCAGGCCAGTGAATCGAGTCGAAATAGTGGCTGCTATGAGACGGATTAGAGTAAGTATTTTCTAGACTTTTTTTCATATAAAATTAAGCCACTTATAGAATTCTCAAATTTGTCAGTGAAATTTATCAGATTTTTCATTTTGTAACTAGTTGTTTTTTTTTTTTTTTTTTAATAAACAATATCATTTAAACTGAAATTATAAGTTATTACTATTTTTAGATTTTTCGATAAAGATATTTAGAAAAAAAAAAAACTCTATTTTATTATTTTGCATTTATTTTAATTTGTAGTACGAGTTCAAAGCCAAGGGTATAAAAAAGAAAAAAGTGTCCATAGAAGTGTCCGTCGAAGGAGTCCGTATTACTCTAAGAAAAAAGAAAAAGGTAAATATAAAGTGTATTCCAAATATTTATTTTTATTCCTATATAAATTATGCATAATTGTGTGTTCAAATTACATTTCCTATCTGAGTTTGTTATTTATAATTATTTGAGTACAATTAAATTTTAGATCATATTATTTTTTAGTTATTTGTTTCTTAGTATATTGTTTTATTTTTGGTTATTAAATAAGGACATACAATAAATAATTTTAATCAAGTATTAGAATAGCTTACTTAGTAAATAATATATTTCTTACAAAATTCTACGAGTGATATTTGTTATAATAAAATACGTTTAGTTTACTAATTAATATATTATAAATTGATTTATGCACTTATGCAAAATAATTCAGTTATAAATTATAGTGAAGGTTGAACTTTGTTGATTTTTATTCTTAAAGGTTAGTTACATATATTTACTTTTGTTATAAAAAGCTTTTTAGATATTGACATATATTTTGGAAAATTTGAAATTAAATCTTTTAGCTAAAAAATAAAACAATATTATTTATTATTACAAGGAAATATTATTTAGAAAGAGGATTGACGTTTCCAATTCATTTTCTTATTTATGAGATGATAAATAGGATCTACAGTTTACATACCAAATATTTTCAAAGTTTCTTTACACTTCATATGACAGTAATATTACATTTTGGCTTATTTATTTTTCAAGCCTCAATACTATTTTTAATAATGAACTTTTATTCTTATCAATGAAACTGATTATCAAAATAATTAGATTAATGTATCCATAATCATAACTTCAATCGATATATTTTATGATTTAAAAGGTTAAATTATACATGTTTATACTTGTTCTTTAAATTAAGTTTTTGATAAATTTTTGTTTTTATTAAAATGAAAAAACATCAAGTTATTGAACAACTGAATTGTATTGAAGCTGATTAGTTACAAAATTCAATATTTCAACATATCAAACATTTTAATATAGGTATAGATGGATAATAGTGTAATCTACATTTCATCTAAAACAAGGAAATATTACTTCAATATACAAATAACTTATAAGTAAATAAAACCTGATTCAAAATTTTTGTTTATCTCTGATCTGAAAAAATTAATCTAAAATTTTAATTGAGTTAAACCTCAAAATTATTTTTTAACTTCCTACAAAAATATTATACTCAGTCTTACCGCGTTTTATTTGCTAGTGATTTTTGGTGGTTATACAGTTCATATAAAATTAAGATCATTAGTATTGATATAATAAACCTTTAAGAATGATAAAACTGAATACTTAATGTTTAGTTGAAGAAGTAAAAATTGTGAACAAGAACAACATTTTAAAATAGTAGAATATAGATTCAAAAGGGTTTCACAATTTAAATACCCTCATAACGGAGAATAATGATGTGAAGACAGAGGTGACGTCCAGAACATAATAAAAAAATAAAGGATATTATGGATTAGAAAGAGTTCTGAAATCGAAAAATTTAAAAATAAGAATGTACATGGCTTTACGAAGACCGATTATCTAATACGGTGCTATAATGTGGGTTTTGAGAAAAACAGAAGAGTTAAGACTACCTAGCAATATTTGAAAGAAAAGTTCTACGAGGAATATATGGCCCAGGCTTCGATAGTGAAACAAAAAAATAGAGAAAACTATATAATTATGAAATTCAAAAACAGTTTCAGACGTCCAATATAGTTAAAGAGATTGTTAAAAGAAAATTGTTGTGGGCAGGCCATGCATGGCATAAATAAAGAGGGTGATAGAAAAAATATCTATGGAAAAAAGTCTGTTGGACCAAAATTAAGATAGAAAGACTAAAGAAGGACATTAAAAAAAATAGAATCAGATATCAATTGGAGAGAAGCATTGGATTAGTGGCAAGTTTTGTATTTAGTGGTATGGTCTTAAAAGCCTAAACCAAGAAAGAAGAGATAATTATTGAAATAATTTAACACTAAGTAAAATATACTCAACAGTTGTTTGCATTATATTTATCAAATACATTTTTTTTTTTTAAATAATTGATTGTTCTGGAAAACATATATTGTGATTTTTTTACATATATATATATATATTATTCTGTAATTATTAACATTAGATAAAAAAGTATATTTTAAAAATACTGTACATTTTTTTAAAAGAGATACTTTATAATTCCTATACATAAATTGTTATGTAACACCTGTGAGTTTGGTTGAACAAGATAATTCGAAACATTTTATATTTGTATAATAGAACTCATAACAATATGATTTAAAAGCAAGATTAAGATTTTATCATGCAAAGATGTAATTAATCATTTCGAAAACCAGTATTTAATTCAATTTAGAGAAGTCAAACAACTAGGAATAGTTTAATTTTAATGTATGTGAATAAATAACACTAATAAAATAATATGTAAAACTTTTAAAAACTTTTTAATTGTAATCGGAAAAATTAGTTTTTTTTTTTGAGTATTCGAGATTTTAGTAAGTTATAGTAAGTTAAGTAATTTTAGAAAATTACATTTATTTATACTTATCAAAATGTTTGACTCGTCGAAGCTCAATGTATCAATTTTTAGTTATAAATCATGGTATGCAGAAAATGATTCTTTAAATTCTATTATCAAAATTATACAATTAACGTAGACCGCGGCATTATTTTAACACCAAAAACAATTAACCAAACTTTAATTCAGATTCGTATGAAAATCTAATAAGCATTAAAATACTGTCTATTAAAATTATAGAATATTTCCAGTTACTTGAAATACGTTTAAAAAAATATGGATATGTAAAAAAAAATTATGATATTGAAAAATTAATTAATTCTCGGTTTTCCAGTAAGAATTAGTTAATATTTACATACAATCTAATTTAAATTATAGCCTATCTCGGTTTATAATCATCTTACTGAACTTACAATTTCGTGCGTACAACAGGCAAATAACCTATGTAAACCTATCTGTTTGTTTTTGATGGTAGTACAACTCTAGGGTATATTGTTGCTGCAGAAAGAGGAGTGCAATTTAAATTGTTTCTGCGATATTCGATTAAATTAAAAATAAATTATTTAAACTTATTTGCGAACAACGATCTCACTAGTATTGAATTTAAAATAACAACAAATTTATTTAAATGGTTTGGATAAAATCAATTTAATTTAATAAATTATTTTTACATATTTCATAACGGTTTGCAATGGTCCATAAAAGTTTTGAAAACAAAGCGGAAACAAATTAGATTTAAAACGTTTATGAAAATATTTAATTATGTAGTCATATCAATCACTTTACTATATTTAACGAATTCCAATAATTAAACATTGTTTTTGTCATGTTTTTACAGAAAAAACAATGGATGGACGAGAATAACCTGCTACTTATGCAACATCCTATTTATAGGTAAGCTGTTAAGTCTGCCGTGTATGTGGTGGGTCTAATAGCCTCAGATGAAAACAGCTTGTTCACTTTTGAACAGCTAATTTGAACAATTTTTTTTTTTTAACAAACCGTTTACTGTTAAGTTGTGCTAATAAAATATTTTTGTTTTGAATTTAAGGATATTTTACGTTTCTCACGATTCTCAAGATATGAAAATATTCAGTTACATAGCTAGAGATGGTTCCACTAACGTGTTCAAGTGTAATGTGTTTAAGGCAAATAAAAAGGTACGTGGCTATTGATTTTATGAATATTTAATATAACATATATATATATAATATATTATATTATACACGGTAGAAATTTAAATAAATATAATAATTTTTGGGACCAAAATATATTCGTATAAAAATGATTAAATGTAGTCATATAGATCTGTTTCTGGCATATGTTATAATAAAAACGAAAAAATCGTATTATTATGCAGTATACAAACCATTCATTTCAACTGTCCCGTTAGTAAGAAAATCCGATGAAGTTAACGTAGCTGATGTGTTTGAGTGTGTGTTATTTTTACCTTAGTGACATTTTATTATTATTCTCAATCTGAGATGATCCTCAAGTGAAAATTTGACAGTTCTTGTATGTGCTTGTCATTATTAATGCGATAAAGCAAAAAAAAAAAATCAAAAAATATGATATGATTGTTGATATTTGGTATTTGTGGTTATAACTTTTCTCAAATATTATCTTATTCATGTGAATTGAATAATTTCTTCATCTTTACTTTTGTGCTGAAATTCTAATCGTGGATTGTTAGCATTCACATTTTTATCCCTTTCGAAAATAAAAAACCATAACATGGTAAAACGTTCTCAATACGCGTTGGTATTTTGGTAATGTGCACTTCATATAAGTGATTGACGACCAAGGATATTTTTGAGAATAATCCTTTTTTAATCTTTGTTGGATTAAGTTTTTGGTGCATAATTATTAAATTATTGTTTACATACACAAGTTATGCGCGCGCGCGCACTCCCAAACATTCTTATTAATACTAGCATATTAACTGATAGTGTTGTGATTGACGACCAAGTTTGATGACCTACTCAAAAAAATAATAGGTATGATCATAGATTTCAGCCAATCAAGGGAGAGTGCAATTGCACTCAAAAAAACATTTTATTAAAATACATTTTACTTAATATCTTATTTTTTGTTGATACAAAAATATATTGGATTTTAAATGTAAAGTTATTTTAATGAAATAACAGTTTTTTTTATATAAATATACAAATTTATATAATATATACGTACAGTAAATTATAATATCAAGTTTGAATAATTTAAAGTCAATAGGCTTTTCATTTTCCAATCTTCTTTAAATACTTAATTTACACTACAAAATATCATAATATGTATCACATAAGGAAATATAAAATACTTTGAAACATTTATTTTATATAAATTCCTAATAATATATTATAAATGTTTATTTTCAATAAAAATAAGAATAAAAGTGCTAAATATTTAAATTAATAATACAACAATAAATTATAACGTAATATTTTGAATCAAAACACAAATGATTAAAAATAGTTTGGTAATACATTTATACACTTTTTCCCTAAGGATATGAAAAATTCATGACATTCGCTGATTGATGTATCGTTATGCACATTTTTTCTACCACGCATGTCAAAAATCACTTAACAGTTAACAGTATTTTTGTGAAAAATCAACCAAAAAACATATTTTTCGTAACTTGTGCAGTTATTTAGCCTATTGTGTAGCATGTATGTATAAATTGTATACACGACACGCGCATAAGATATTTTCCAAAAAGATTTTGTTAAACATTTTCGAATTTCAATTTTTTTTTCCATAAAATTTCAATGACATTAGTACCTACTATCGGAATCTCGGACGGCGTAGCATTTGTTTGAAAACACTTGAATACACATGAACGATAAATAAATTACCTAAATCGGTTATAAGATGAAATGGATAGCGCGTGTGGAAATGTATGAATGTATGTTATTCGCATTGTACAGATAGAAATAATTTTAACGGTATTTCACGCTTGAATAAATTATTCATCATGCTTCAGTTCTGCGGCAATCCCTGAGATCAAACAATACGCATAAAATATGACTAATAGACACTTTGATATTCTTAAATTCATTACGACGCCGACCGCGGTAAGCTATGTAGATATAAGAAAACAAAAATCGAAACGACAATATGTAACATATTATTGTGGGATTAACGTGCAGGGAGAAATTGAATGCAGTCGATTTTTCCATAGAATTTACACCACGGAATACCGCGCACAAAGTCGGCCAGACGTTTTCACGTTGCCGAACGTTTCCAAATGTTCGCGTGCGCATCGTACACACAACGTGTTTGCGCGGTAGCGCGAGATCAAGAGGAAAACGTACTCGATATGACGACCGTGTACTATGCACCGGAGTAATCGTTTAGTCTTAGGAAAGAACCGTTCGACTCGGAACTCTGCACGATCCGGTATTCTTACATTAAAATAATATTTAACAAGTCGGTCCCGGTTCATAGAGTTTATACAGTCATTTTTTAGGCTGTATCGATAAAAAAACTGTCCGTCCACAGTATAAAATTGGTCTGGTATAGCGCTGATCGTGGTGTGTACGGTCCGGTCCGATGAGTACGATTTACATGTCGTTGCTCTGTGAAATTAATAAAAAAATCACCGAGGTTTAATGTTGAGTTCCCGGCCTTATTTCTTGCGTTACTGGACCGATCCTGGTTTAGTTAAGGGACTTAATGTAACCTGGCTAGGTCGGATTAGGTTGTGGTCTGTATGAAATTAAAGACCGTGCAGGGCTCCATCGGGCGGCCTCGATATCGTCGTGCAAACTGACTACAGGCCGATGTCGGGCTGTCGACTGCTACGCTAGTGCCCACCATAGCCATCCGTCGTAACACCGCTGCACTCGGGGATCCGGTGATATATGGACATTGACAAAAACAGACGTGACGCGCGCGCACTCGTGTGTTGGGGACGGGGAACGCGATCAGGCGAAATGCCAGGGCCCATACAACAGGTGGGAGGACGTCGGCGGGGGAGGACTCCGTCTGGCCCCCGTCCTTCTGGGTCGTCGTCGTCAGCAGATACCGACGGGACGCGCCTGACGACCGACGTACGCGCTTGCACGCCGCGTACACACGTACACGAGCACGCACGCACTCGCGCACACGTGCTCACGCGGCACACACGCGCACGCTGCCTACCCACGCGTTCGAGGCGACGACGACGGGAGGAAGGAACGACGAAGAACCGCTCAGGAGATTATTCGTTCCCGTGATTCCGTGACATCAGGTTTTCCTGCCGTCAGCCTGCACGCGCATGCGTATTCTCTCTCGCTCTCTCTCTCTCTTTCTCTCTCACTATCTATCTCTCTCGCTCTCTCCATACCTCTTTTTATCTATTCTTGTCTCGAGTGTATGCGCCCCTGTCTCAATACGCGTCTATGGTTATGAGGAAGACCGCGAACGTGTCATCGTCGTTGTCGCCGTCGTCGTCGCCGAGCGGACCGCAACCGCAAGTGCCTCGGAAAAAACTGTCGTTCAGGGAACCCGAGGTGGTGCCCCGGGGCAGACCTCGGGTAGTCCTAGACAGGGCCGACGAATTCGATTTGGACGAAGAGCTACAGGTAACAATCAACTGCTCTTCTCCTCTCACCACCAACACCCAACAGTAAACCGTCGAGGCGATGCTGTTGTTTTTTTTGCCCGCCCCCATCTTTTCACCCGAATTCGTCACGTATCCCCAGCGAATCGTTTTAATTGGTTTCTTTCCACGTTTTTGTTTTTTTTTGTTTTTTAGAAAATTCATTATACGCCGTGCTTGTCCGTGTTTCAGAGCCAAGCAATGCGAGTGGTGCGAACGGTAGGCCAAGCATTTGAAGTGTGCCACAGAGTAAACCCGTCCGAGGACGGCGGCGATAGAGACAACGAGGACGTTTCGTGTAGACACGACGACGAGGACGAAGACAACGACGACGACGATGATGAGGATCACCGAGGAGATGATTCGGGTGATGAAGACGACGAGTTGGACGACGGTTCGATGTCGAAACGAGGTGAATTATACATATAAATAATAATAAATAAAAATGTATAAAAATTGTTAAGACGGGGAAAAACGCAGAGACGGATTTTTCGGTGTTTTGCAAGAAAATTGTCATTGTCACCACGTTAAATATAGACGCCCAGATCTCCGTTTTGGGATCACATCCAAATGTTTACCGTGTCTGTTTCCACTTCCCCCCACCCCTTATCACACCCGACGGCCGAATGTTCATTTTTAAATCCGATTTTATTCCACAACCGTTTTTAACGATATACTGTTCGAAATAATTGTAAATCGAGCGACTTATCACCTAGCTGCGTTTACAATGTACACACACCTTTAACAAATATAATTTGTTGCTGTTCGTTGCAGCAAACACTTGGCACCGCAATGGTTACCCTTTAACATATTTTTAACGTGACCTATGCGCTTGAAATACGTTAATTTATTACCTAAACAATTCCAGTAGGATTTTTCTTTTTCTTTGTTTTAGTTTCATTTCCGACCTAATTTATTCATGGCTGACTGCTGTGTATACATTTATTTATACATAAAGTATAAATATCAAAAATGATCGTATGATTTGTACTCGTATGACTTTGATATTCCACATTAAAATTGACGGTTAAGTGAACGGATTGAAATATGTCTTTAAATAAAACGTTCTTTATATTTCTGAAAAATTCTTTTAAAGGCTCTTTTTCAGCAAATTTGTTAAATGGTTTATCTTAGCAAGTACCTATATATATATGCAATTGATATATATTTATAGTGCAATATATAGTTGGGTGTGTGTGTGTATGATCGTAATAAAATAGTATACTATGCAATTTATATAGAATGCTGTACGTCGCTTTCAAAAAGATGAGATACGGAAAGATTTTGCGTAGTCTTTAACTTATACATACTTGTATATAGAAAAGTCTTATAACTAAATTAATTTAATCTTTTAAATAAAATAGTTTCGAATTTTCTATAATTTAAAGCTTATTATACTTGAATTAGTCGTGAATATATATTTTTTTTATAGTAAAGTATAGACGTGTGTGTATGTCGCCTCGCAATAAATAATTATCAAAAGCTAATTTTAATTAAATTATATAATAAATTGTATGAGCGTTTATTCTCATAGGAAATCATGAATAGTATTCCACAACTCATATTACATTATATCCCTCGATAATTACATAACTACTCATCTTTTATACGTATCCAGCGAGTATTTTATTTTTATATTAGAGTAATATTATAACCATTGACTACGAGGTTTAATAAAATATTTTTCACTAAGCTTAAATGATAAATTACTATTTCATGTAACTAACCAATTCAAGTATCAAACATTGCTAGTTCTTAGATACAATAAAATACTTTCTTCTGGTCGAGATTGTACAATTTTATGATAATTTAGTGCGTGCAATCAATCGTAAAATGAATTAGGAGTATAAAATTGTCTTGTTTGAATAGTTTCAAATATTTGGACAAACGGGCAAAATGTTTATTTTATCAATATGAAAAATAGATACTAAAAATACATTTACATATACATATATTTCAGAACAGTCATAGAAATTAATTTATTATACTGATTGTTCTTGTGTACACATTTTTGATGGCATAAGTAGAAGAGAATTCAAGTGAATAACAATAACCAAAAACTATTTATTCAATATTTATAACGTTTGTATTAAAATGTTAACAAATGTTTAACACTCAAAGAAAAAGTAGAAGAAATTCTATCTAGTTTTTTCTTTTACAAATTAACGGCTGTTGAAGATTATTTCCTAAAAGTAAAATAAATTCCTGTCATTCCCCTACAGGCAGTTCTTAACGAGCGAAAATCTGTTTTATGCGCGAACGAGACGTAATTTTCTGCTCTTATCGAGAATTGCTTGATAACAATTACGAAGAAAAAAACTTCGTTTTAAAATGACCGCTGTAGGCTGAGAAGTAGAAATATAAAAACGATTCTCGTACATACGTACTCATCGTCATTGCTCTATCATTATGAAGAAACATTAATCGTGTGGCAGCTGCAACGTACGAACGCACGAAACGTACGCATACCACGCGTGTACGCATCAACGGTAACTGTTGGTTTTTTTTTTTTTTAGACAAAACCGATAGCACGTCGATCGTACACGATACACTTCTACCGTTCGTCTTCAGAATCATAAAAAAAAAAAAAAAAAAAAAAAAAAAAATACGCTGCAGATAGTTTACGGGAAAAGTCGGGTGTATTTTGGCCGGGCACCAGATCGGCCGGACTCGAGAACTCACACGCACTCGTACATCCCTTTTATAAACGTTGACGCCTGTCACACAGGTAGAAGAATCGCGTTCTCGTAACGGGTGCCAAACGCATGCGTTTTCCGACACCACATCACGCACGTATAGCGTGTTTTCTCGTATCGCGTTCACCGCCGGCGCGGAGCGCTGACAATTTTTTTCTCGTTTTTTAACAATAACGACGACGAAGGTAATGGTGGATCGCGATCGTGACACGGTGCTCGGTGGCGACTACAGCGGTCACGTAACGCGATAGCCTCTCTCCGCCACGCTCGCGACACCGTAAACAGGGGTCATCCGACCGCGGCACGATGTACAATGGCGACTTTTGCGCACGAAGATCCGTTCTACTGTCCATCGTAATGCACCGGTCGTTCGTTATAGCACTCCGGTTGACAAAAACAATCGTTTAGAGCAAAAACGCGAGTACATAATTTATAATAGCAGCTGTAGTGCGGTACCGTAGCATGTATTGTTATGATGTTATTTTTATCGTTGTGGCTCCAATGGTGGATCCAACATCTATTTACGGTCGAGACACTTTAAAGGAAAAAAGATATAGTGCAGTAGCTGATCATCGGTGTATGCAGCGATGTCTCGGGGAGAGGATTTGGACTTGCTCCTCAAAATAATGTGACAATTTTATACTAAAACTGTTAACACTTATTTTTACTATCCAGTATTCAGTTCTTCCGAATACACTTTATTTTTAATATCGTTTTTGCCAACGGCGATAGCACTTGCCCTCAATGCTTGCCTACCCTTTGGATATTCCCGTGTTTGGTTCTGTTACGTTCCGGAGCAGTAGCGCGATTCGCTGATCTTTCCGTGACGCAATCCTTGAGCATCCCGGCACGGTGAAAAGCGGGAAATGTGTACTTAATGTACGCACACATCTTTTGTGACCGCACGCGCGTTGTAAGTACTTGTTACAACTAGCGTACGTCGTACAACACTCGTTTAGCGTGCACAATCATTACACCTGCGAATAGAGCGACCGGTAATGCTTCCCGTATCACACGATAACGATCCGTGCCGACGAGTTGTCGTTCGACTCGTTGAACTCGAACCTGTTGAATGATCGCGAGCAAAGCATCGGTGAGAAACTGAATTACGTACGTAATTACCGCGCCAATTAGGTTAGCGTTCCGACAACGTAATTCATATTGCCGCGTCTGCACGCCTGACCACCATTGGTATTTCTCAAATCGCATTGTTAAATGTCTTTTTATTTTTTATTCCGTATATGCGTACAATACGTCTGTTCGGACACTATTCGCTTTACGTTCCCGTAGGAAAATGTGGACGGACAACAATGCGTCCGGGGACGGGAACGCTTTGGATCGCGGCCGAGACCTATTTCCGTTTGGTTTCGTGAGTACACGGCCAAGACGGCAGATCTGAATCACTGAACCGATGTGCCGCAGTTCTGCGCTCCGTTGAAAGCACGTGTTGCTCCTTTGAAAGCGTCGGCACGCGCTAGCACGTCCTACGCGCCTGTACCGTTGCAGCGTTGAGTGCAAAACGAGTTTTTAACGGTTCGTCGCATCAACCTCCCACCGGTCGACGAACACGTACAGGACGCACCAGTACCGCGGGCGCGGTCATCGTTCCGTCCCATCGCGGCAGTGCATCGTGCACGTATGTACCGCAGGGGCCTGGCGTGCCGGACGGTTGTCCTCCACCCACTTCTCACGAAGGAAAACCGGAACCGGTCGGGGTCGTGCACGCACGGTGCAACGCGAACGCGCAATACCACGCGTGTCCGTCTTTGTTCGCTCTTCCGGACGGTCGCGAACGTCATCGTGTGCGCACAGGAAACGTGCACCATCGTCGCCCGTGACCGCGGGCCTCACTCGGGAATTCCGAATAACGAACTGCACGCCCGTCCGTCCCGACACCGGCACCGTCACGTGCGGACGCTCCTCCTCGCCCCGAGCGCGCATCGAGGCCGAGTTCACCGGCACGAGTGTTTCGCCGCACCGTGTGGTTTTTCGGCCACGTGCGATACTCCCCCCTCCCTCTTGCGTACCACGAACTTCCACGTCTTGCTCGCTGTGCATCTGTTTTGAGCCGTTTTACTTATTATCGAAATCGGTAACGTTTCGATGGTTGGACGAAATCGATTTCGTGAAACTGCATTTTCATATCTCGGTAACGTGTGGTACCGTATGGTGGTATTTGATTGCGACCGCGTGTGGTTTGGTCAATTGGAGACGATCTTTTTGGAAGACGTGGCTCGACGGTGCAAAACACGATTTCGAACTTGTATGTGTATTATTTGCGAACGCATTTGTTACGTACGCCCGTTGAGCCTACCCACTGAATTCACCGGACCTAGGCCACCCCGGTCCAAAATTTAGTACTTCAGCTCGGTGTGTAATAACGTGGCCTTTAACCCCGACCACCACAGTTTTGGATCACGGTCCGACTGTGTTTGGTGGGCATCTTAGTTCATAGAGCACTCGATCAAACGGTCGTTTTGTCGTAAAATGTCAACAAGGCTTTCCTTAATCGTGCACCGAAGTCCTGTTAAATTACATATTGTTGATGTTTTAAATATTTTAGCTACTAAGACCACAAATCCGTGCTGCTGACTGTAATATCGTTTGCCATTGTTTTAATCACAAAGTAATAATTACTTTTAATTATTGAAGCATAGTAATTATCGATAGTAACCGAAGTAGTAGGAATGTTGTTAGATAGGATTAAGTTTACGCGATTGATACGTTTCGTACCATCTTATGGGTTTGCCGGCTTATTTGAACCTTTCAACCTGCCACTGACCGCATAAGAATCAATATTCATACCCGTTATTGTGTACGCTACACATCAGTGCGTTGTTGCATTTTTCTCTTCTTGCAAATCACCAGTGCCGTAGCAACCAAACATTGCACCCGGGGCGAAACCTCTAAATGCGCCCTTATGTATTATACATGCATTATAAAAATATTATTTTAAATGATCGCTTTAATTAATATGAAGGATGTTAAAGATTTTTTAAACAAAATATACAACATTGACCGTTGTAGTTTTTAACATTAAATGCAAGATTTTAATTTTTGCGCTCTCCCAGGAATTTCGCCCGGGGCGTAGGCACCTCTCGCCACTCCCTTGCTACGGCCCTGCAAATCGCAACCGCGTAAAAATATTAATAGTTTTCACGTATCCATTGTGTGGTACAGTAGAGCGTGAATCTCGCGTTGGTTCTTACCGTCCTACGCTCGTTGACTACTTTAAATTCCGTTCCGGGGTGTCTTACAAAAGCGTTTGCCGTTGTCCGTGCGCGGATATCCATATTTTTTTCGTTAAACGTCATAATAATAAATACAGCGTGCATTTTATCGTCGGCCATTCGAACGGATTTTTCACTATTTTTTTTTTTCGTTAACGTTATTTTATCATTGTCGACAGTGAACCCACAGGAAACGGCTCGTGCGCGTGCAGGTGTGGTCGGGCGATAAGCACCATAGATAACTTATCGTTATGTCGGAAACGTGTTCAGAAATATACTTCACTGAGCACGCGGAATGGAATCGTTCTTAAAAACTTCAATGAACGTTATCGGACGGATTTGGTTTTTAAAAACTGGTTTATTTTTTCTCCTGTAATGCAGTGCGTTATTGCGACTGTTTCCTTATCGGCCACGACGCGCCCTCATTGTACCCAGTGCTCGAATTGGCAAAAAAAAAGGGGCTAAAAAAAAAAATCGCGTCGCCAAAACTTGTTAAGTGTTATAATTATAATGTAATAATAGAAGGTGGACGCTGAAATTTCTAAAAATTAGAAGAGGTATTCCATCCTCCTGCGTCCCTCCTCAAGTCGAGCACTAATTGCACCAATTCTACCCCACATGTAGTGGTTGCGTTTGAACCATAATGCCGTTGTTTCGCTGGCTGAGCCAACTAAAAAACCGGAAAAGACGTTTGCATAGATGAGAATTATCCCGTCACCGGCGCACGTTCGTCGGCCACACAACGAGCGTCCGCACAACAGCAATATATAGGGTTAGCTCTGTGTACCACTCGAGATTTACTACACGAACGCGTATAAATGTGTTTTTTTTTCTTTTTCATCTTCTTCTCTCCTTTAGCCCTGTGCCAGCTGTACGCGGATTTCATTTTTTTCTGTCTTTTTCCCACCATCCAAACGATGCGTGGGCAGTGAAATGTTCTATTCTAGTCCCTCGCTATTTGACGTCAAACTAATTGGCTTCGTGCCCCGCACATATGACTCGACGTCACCGTTGTGACAAAATCTACTTCGGTTGTGCAATGTTTTAAATTTATGCCGTCCAGACTAAATATTACTACTGCTTTACCGCGTGTTCGACAAGCCGTGGAATGGAAAAGGTTGTTGTTATTTTTTTTTTTTTTAATTTTTACTGCTGTAGTCGAATTAATCATACATATATTGGCGATATACATTATTTTCGATAGTTTTATCAATTTAAAAATTCTTAAGGTATAGACTGTCGGGATAAGATTTAAAAACTAATCGACTTCCGATTAACCGGAGATTTTTAATTAGTCCATATATCGTACACAAATAAACAAAAATGTCTTCGCAAAATGCACCATGTGTGCCTATACGAATATTAAATAATTGTTTTTTACGTATAGTGTAGATGAAAAGTTTTAACGAAAGAATTTTCGTTATGAAATAATTATTTTTATTGTTTTCAGACACATTTGAAAATCAAGGTAGACTGGAAACATCCGTCGGAAACGATTCTGTCTCATCGTTGGACGGAGCCAGAAAAGACGGAGGCCCCGGCGACATACAACGACCTTTACGACTAGATATCATTCCACCTCCACCGGTTTCATCAGTCAACCACAGACGTTCTTCGCCAATGGTATACACGCCCCCGTTCAATACACTTTCGGTAGCTTATGATTATTGTTTTTTTTTTTGCCCCCCACCCGAAATCTTGCAGAACGGCAGTGAAGTATACAGCTCCCCGATGACTGAAACATCAAAAGGCGATGGGGTCCTGTTGTCATCTTTGAGCGTACAACACGAAATGCAATTATTGCGCCAACAGCTAGATCAACAAACGCATCAGACCCAGGCTGCAGTAGCTCAAGTTCATATGCTCAGGGATCAGTTGGCGGCTGAATCCACGGCCAGAATGGAAGCTCAGGTACTCATCACGTACACTGTTGTTTATAGATGTCTACCGAAACACGATGTCTTCGCACCATAAATAGTTGTTGAACGTATCGCTGATATTTTGGCACTTGTTTCAAGCGGTCGCAATAAATTTTGCGAAATTTCTTTATTCTCTGAACCCGTGCCAAAGTCAAAACAAATCATGCCTTACGTTATAAACAATATGCTGTGTCCGGAGATGGTATACATTTCGTATGCATACTATTGTAATATTAAACACAACACGCGTAAAAAAAAAAAAATAAGCACAAATATGACAAATATTAACAGCATTTATCGTTTTGATTGGCCTGGTCAATTTCACTGGTGCACACGTTTGATATATTTTACAGCGGACATCTGTGTCAGATTATATATATATTATTTTCCGAGATGAACGATGATCGTAAATATGCGCTTGTGGAAATATAGCTATTCACGCGTGGAAAACCGTTAGTAGCTGTCGAAGGAGTTGAAAATATATTACATTAATTGTGTAGTTCCGTTGCGTTCTCGTCGAGACCGGCTAATAATGCATTATGAATGCGTGCACCGTGTGCTATAATTAAATCGACTAGACGTGGCCAACGTGGTCGACTCTACGATTCAATATTAAAACCCTTATATAAATTTCTTTGTGTGTGTATTTTTCCGCAGGCAAGGACACACCAGCTTTTAGTGCACAATAAAGAACTACTGGATCACATTGCTTCGTTGGTTTCGTTGTTGCACGACCAGGAAAGGATCAGGAGTGAACTGCAACATCATTCACTTCCTCCGGTAAGTGCCGTTCCATGTTGAACTCGCTTTATCCCTTTTTTTTGTTGTTGTATTTTTCGCAGTTAGAAACTACTAATTTCGATGTGTGTATGATTTGTGCTGATAAGATAATACAAACACATGCAGTTATTAGGTGCATCTTTAAACTAATCAACATTAATCAACTGTGTAGTTAAATAGTTTTAAACGTGTCTATAAAATGTGCAACGTGTGTTTTTTTTTCGTTGACATGGTTCAATGTTTTTTTTTAATCTAACGATCATCCATTGTTTGATGTGTTTAACCGATTTACCATAAATTGACCTACCCAGGATATCCTGGACACCTACGGGTACGTTGAGTTTTGTATTGTAACGCATTTAATCGCTATTACACTGTACATCTATGTATTATGTATTTTTAGTTAATCGTAGAAAAAAAATTATTTACACGCGTCACCGAAGCGAGATTATATTAGATACTATTTATTTTATTTTATTTTTTTATATCGGTTTACACAGCACTCTATGATGTGCGATCTTCCCACGCCGTCTTCGGCGCCGGCCTCATACATGCCGGACTTGCCACCGCCTTCGCCACGTCACAGGGCGGCTGCGTACCACATGCCCATGAATTTCGACTTCAGTTTCAACCAGCCCGCGCAAACGGCCGACCAGCAGTTCCAAGCGCAACTGCTCCAACGGCTCCAGTCGCTGACCGGCACCATCGCCAACACGCCCGCCGGCCAATACCAAACAAGGCAGCCGCCGCAGCAGTACCAACCACATCTGTTCGCTCCATCGCCGACGGTGCACCAGCAGCAGCCTTCCGTGTCGCCGACGGCCATCAACTGCCGGGTATCGCAGCCGTCGTCGTCGTATTCCGCGTCGCCCGTCACCAACCGGTCGACGTCCGGCGACAGCGTGACCAACGACGGCATCATCAAACCGCTGTCGGACGACCACCAGGTGACCGTGGTGGTGGACAGGACGGCCGAGGAACCGCTGCCGCCGCCGGAGCCCACGCCACCGGTGCTGTCGCCGCCGCCGCCCGGCAAGCAGAAATCGCTGCTGAAGGTGTCGAGTAGAGCCGGCAGTGCCGGCGGCGGCGGCGGCAAAAAGACTACGGCCGTGGTGGGCAACGGGCCAATAACCAGGTCGACCAGCGAGAAGGTGCCCAACAAGAGTAACCTGATGAGTCAAGTGCATCGGACCACTTGGGCGCGACACACTACCAAGTGACATGCACGCGAGTCCGGCCAACCCGCGTCGACTCGCCTGCCGTTCGTCCGATAACGTCGTCCTGCTTAGTCCTAACCTAGCGGTTACCGAGTCACGGACAGTGGTCATCACAAAGGGTGTGCCGTTAAAAATTAATAGATTTGAAAGAGCGGAGAGGAAAAAAAATAAAATAAAATACCCAACGAAATCGATAGAGTAAAACTATTACCGTGTTCTCAAGATTTTGTAACAAACGTGTATCTTGTGCATAGAACACAATATCGCGCTCATTCAGTCAATATTCTCCACGGGCGTAAATACCTAGAAAGGCGTTTCGTCACTCCGTCGGTAATCGCCAAATGTCCTCCGTCCTACTGACACAACGGTCCTAGGCTCATCCCTCTATCCCAGATCGTTGACGAATAACAATCGAATCCAATCCATCCGTTTACGATGGCGTACCTCGTATTATGCGCCACGCACCAAAACAGTTTCCCCATAGCTCGGTTACTGCTGCTGCTCGTTCACGTACACGGTTCACGGTACACGGTGTCTGCAACTTTGACGAAAAAATCATGGTTTTTTTATGTTTTTTTTTTTCGCTCCCGTTTCGTCTGCACGACCATATATTGTATACTGTCTCCTCGAACAAATCGATTCAGTGCGATGGAGCCGAGAACATATTAATATACATAAATGTATAAATATTTTGATAAAAAAAAGAAAAGCAGTAACAAATATCTATTATTAGGTTTTATTTTTGTTCGTGTTGGGACAAAGTAATGTATAGAAATTTTAATTTTGAAACTTTTTGAGATTTCTCGACAACGTTATCGAATCGAAATATGAGAACATTATCTGTGATTACGTATAGTGAGACTATAAAACGTTGAGATCTTGTCTATATTACGTTTTCGAAGCGATATGGGTACGTGAAATGTAGACACCAACAAAATAATATTACTACAAAGTTCAGGATTCCAATAAAGTGGTTACGATTTATTGGGGACCATTTATAGTTGCCAAATAATAATGTGTATTTAGAAATATTTTACGTTTTTTACACGTTTTATGTAGGGAAAAATTAAAAAAAAAAACTCCAAACAGGCTAACAATTCTCATATTTCAATTTGATTACAATTATAGTAATCTTAAATTTTAATCGAGTCTATTTCCATAATAATTTTTATTCGTGAGAGCCCAACAAATACCAATTTGAGACGGTTATATAATATACATTTAATATAAAAATCGTATATACGGCATTCTTTCCTGTTTTATAAAATACATAATACTGTATAGTACGGGGAATTGAAAATAACGCTTGGAATGCAGTGCACCGAGTTTGACAACTACGAAGTTTTCCAAATTATAAAATTTATAACAAATAATTACTTTATCCGTCGACAGTCTTCGAGCTTTTATATTATGGATATTTGTTAAAGTTAACGGCTTATCAAATACAGTAATACACTCTACGACAGACTGACTATTTTATTAATACTATTTTAATCTTAACGAAATTGTATTGTTCTTATTTTGTAAAACCATGTACATGACTGTGAATATTAATTATCCTAAGAAATGTAGGGTTACATTATTTTATAAATAAATTGAATATTTATATCGTTGTTTTTTTTTTATTCGATCAACCCGTATACATCCCATTCTCGTTCCTTTGTTTGTCCGTATAGTTTATTTTAGTTCTATTTCAGTTAAAATACGTTATATGCGTTATAAATATTGACATTATACTCATATATTGCCTAATCCGTAAACATGATAACATTATCTATGTTTTACAACGTTGTTCTTCTGGTAAAAGTTTAACGTTTTTATTTTTCTCGTTCGGATAAAATAAACTCGTAACCATAATACATAAACCATTGGGTAAACGTTAAATTTTTAATTTTAAATCGAGAGTGCAATTAAGTACTTTCGGATTCGATATTCAACCTTAACGATCGATTCAGTAAATTCCCAATCGATTAATCCATTAACGTCTCTACGTACATTATAATTTCATCCTCTCCTTCCCCGTCGTAATATAAATTCCTTAATAGTGTGATTATGCTCGTCCTTTTCTGTACACCGATAAATGGACGCGCGATACTGTCAGGAGGGAACATCATTTTTTTTTTTTTTTGTTGCGATAAATGTAAACGTTATAGCAGTTGATAGACGAGTACTGGTAGGTCGCACGAATCATACCACATCATCATACGAGTATAAGTGTTTATCAGCAAGGTTAAATCATTAAGTTTTAACTCGTTAAGGTGATCCAGAGAAATACAAGTCCAGTTAAAACGTGAACAATTATTATTTATTTTTATTTCAAACAATATTTCGTACAAATGTATATTTTTAATTTTGAAAACAGGAATAACGAAAAATATAACAGCGAAGCTATAACATACTCATATGTATATATATATATATAAATTAAGACCCAAAAGTATCCTATAATATCACGGGAAAAGTAACTAATCGATAAATATTATCTCGATAAATTTTTGACTCGACTTAAACTTTTCAACCCTCTAATATCCCCACCCCACTCACCCACACACAACACGTCTGAACACCCACCCCTAACCGTCCCTCCACGATGCCCCAACATAAACGACGATATCGCTGTACGATCTATTACTAATAGTTGTGTGTCTGTTTGCATTTTCAACCGGTCGCGCAGCTGAGCCCCGGTTCCAAGCTTTCCCGATGGTTCGAGCTGCAGCCCGACTCAGATGCGCTGCCACTGTTCCGGCCGGAGAGCGGGTTCGTCGACTACCCGCTTGACGATTACCAGTCGACGGACAGCCTGTTGCAGCAGAAGAACAAGCCTAAGCGGCGGTCGAACCTCAGCCTGAAGCTGCGCCGAGTCACCACGTTTTGACAGTTGAGCTCTCGATTCGACATGGACGTGTAGCGGCGTTATCGATTCGTGTTCAGAGACGAACGCGCGCGAAGACCCGTGCCCCTCCGTGACCCTCGACGTGAAAAAAATGTCGGTGTTTTTTAAAAAAAAAAAAAAAAAAACGGGAACGACTTTTCCAAATGTTTCTTGTTCAAAAATATGTACTTACTTATATATATCGCTGTACTGCAATTTCCTAAACACGGATTCCTTTCCTAGAAAAAAAAAAATCGTATTTCGCGTGAAACCGTTTCATTGTTAATTACTATTGTTTTCACGTCTACTGCTGATCGAATAGGGTTTTATCTTAATACGTTTCCAATAATCGTTAGCCAATAATTTCGACTCCGGACGATGTTGCACGTATTATAACGTTCAAACGCCTGTGTACTGTGTCGCATGCTGTCACAAATATCGATCGTCGGTACCGGCTTTTTATTCTCCTATTTCTATTTTAACGTATTCTTTTATAACCCCTGAATGTTCTATTTTTATCGTTTTACGTTTTATTTTTTTATTACATTTATATACCTGTATGTTATTTTTTTTTTTATTTATTTATATACACATATTTGTAGTCAAGTCGCGATCGAACAATTAATATTAATTAATCCACGTTAATTAATATGTAGTTGAAAAAATTGGCGTCGCGGCAGCGACAAGCCAGTTGCTTTACTGTTGTTTTCGCATTATTGGAAAACATACATTCGTAGAGTTACCGGTTCGGAGAGTCGATACGCACGCCATGTTAACTTAATACCAACTCGTGTACAGTGTAATAAGTGTATTTTGTAATCGTTAGAATAATTTAAATTATGAATAAACTATAATAACAATTATACATATTTATTGATATTTGTCAACCCTGTAAAACGGTGTTCACGTTTCGTTGTTGTTGTTTGTAATAACATTGTGTAATAACAATAGTTTTTCAGAAACCCTTATGAATCACCGGAAAATATAATGTGATTTTCCCCCGAAAGTCTTATCACACATAACAGTCCTGATCGAAGTCTGTATGTAAATATTTTTGTTCGGTATCTTAAATATCGTGATTCCCTGTACTAATGATCCGATAGTAACGGCCGAAAATTGTACAAAACACAAGAAAACCATCAGCCACTAAACCATTAAACAATTAATTAGGTCAAGGTTGCATTTCACTTTTTTAGCACTCGTACTCGTATTCGATTCTCATAAGAATTTTAATAATTTTGTCTAAATTGGCTTTCGTATGTTTATAAATGTTTTTTTTTTAAACGTGATACGCCTGTAAGTTATAAAAGTTCTGTTTCCAAACAATTTTCATTCGTCAATGTTGTTTAAAAATAATTCTATTAAAAACTTAAAAAATATAATTTTAACCTGGAAATTATTACTAAAATAGCAGAGTAAAGTTCGATCAGATAACAACAAAAGTGTCTATCGAAGAGGTTTCAATTATATCATTAAAGTGTAGAAAATGAAGGTTTATTTCAAAAAGATGATAAAAATTAAAACACAGAGATTCATTATTTTTATTATTTGTGCAGATGAACAGCGTTTTTCAATTATTCTTATTTTCATTTTTACGTCTGATAAAAGAAGTCGAACCAATTCTTTTGTACGCATGTATAATATATTTACATTGCGCTTCAAAGCACAATATCAATATTTTCAGAAAATTTCCTCTACGTAACTTATCGTCAGTTGTCTCGCAAATGTTTGCCCTTACAAGTCCTATTTCTTTTTTATTGGCTGTGAAGACATTTAAAGAAAATAGTATTGAAGTACAATTTCATGAGAAATGAGAATACTTAATGCAAATTGAAAGTTATTAAATATTCGTCAAAATAGTTGTATTGTTAGTTTTTAGACTTAAATTTATTATTATGTTTGAATGTATATTATGTAAACATTTATGACCCGCACAAACCATTTACTACAAACTGTAGATGATATTTTTATGTAATATGAAAATTCCAAATCAAAGATAGTTTATATTTTGATAAATTATTGCAATAATAAAATAATATCGTTATATCATAAATCATACAATATTATAGTGAAAAATATGAAACTGACGAAAACAATTCGAAAACTCTTTATATTATATATATTTTTTTTTTGTATCACTAAGGCATGAAACATTAAATATTATGAATATCTTTCTGAAATTGTCCGTCTTTACTTGTATATTAAGTAGGTATAATTCCAGTTAAATATGTATATGGATGGTTATACCATTGTAACTTACATTTATATTGTTTCAGATAAAGAACTGTAAGATTAAGCCCAGTTGATAATATTAACCTTTCCTAAAATATGTTTTTTCTAATATAATTAGTAAAACATTGATAATAGTATTATATGTTTGAATTGTGATCCGTATATTTAAAATTAATTTCAAAATATCTCAACTAGTTCAATCTCCATGAATACATTTTAAACATTATATCTGAATAATTAAATTAAGTGAAAAATGAATGTCAACCTAAATTCAATACTTTTTTTTATAAGATACATGGATTATTTATTTTACATTTGATCAAGTTCTAACCGAAAATAAAATATAGCACATACTTTTTTGTCTTCTAATAAAAAATATTACGAGAAAATTATGTAATAAACTGAAATTAAACTAATTTTTATGGTTGAACAGTATTTTCATAATGTTATTTATATAAGAATATTGTTGAGTAAAGATATTCAATCTTAATGCTATGATTTTAAGTATAGCAAATATAGGATTAAAGAGCCTTCTAAACAACAGTGAAGAATAATTTTCCAATTGAAACGTCTAACGGTAAGGAATAAATTTGATTTACTAAGTATGTGATTCAATTGATGAGTATCTATAGTATTAAAGTAGAATGACCAACTATTTATTATGGTATTTTAGAAAGGCTTTCAAAGGTACATCAGAAATAAATGTCATAAAACTTCAACTATATTCTCAGGACTTACAAGTCCTACTGTCTATTTTTCGCTTAAGATTTTTTCTTCGTACTATTTAATAATATGTATTAAATATAACTCAAAACACGCTTTAATTATCATTTATAATATCAGTTTCGTCATAATTCCGTTCATTTAGGTGTTCATATCATCCAAGTAGCATGGTAGTATAATGATATATAATAAGTTGAATTTTTTAGGTAACTACATCCGTAAAACATTGTCGACTTTATCTATGGTTTGAATACTTTTGGTCTGAGTACATTAAGGTTAGCCAATATATATTCGTTTTACAGTAAGTTTTATTTATTGTTGTATATAAATACATTTTCGAAATAGTATATTTACTATTAAAAGTCGCAATTGGTTAAGAAATTGGGTTTTAGCTGTTTTCATAAAAATTAAGAAAAAAAAGTGAACTTAAAAAATGCACCTGAATTTATTATTATTCTTAAAACATCTTAAAGAGTAGAGGTTTTTATGAATATTTTAATATTTCATTCTATTAAGTTTTATAAAATATGTTTAAGCTTGCTTTTTTATTATTTGATATTTCATCGGTATTATTTTATATGATTTGCGATTTTAATGTCAAAGAATAAAACTTCACATAATTATTAATAAATGAGTACATTGTAAGAGTACATCAGAGTAATCATTGCGATTTGAATTTATTTTTTAAATTACAGGACGAGATAATTTTTTTTTTTACTAATTTTTTAATGTCATATATGATTCATAGTTTTAAACATTTTAAGTGTAGTACAATATTTAGGAGTATAAATGTGTTTTAACTGTAGCTCAAACTTCTCGAAAGTTTTGACTTACAACCGCATTATTGGTATCAACATGATTCTCGTTTATTGTCTCTTGATTTGATAATCGTAATAACAATGAGTATTTAAAATAATATGTATTCATTTTTATTTAGGAACCACCAATTACATAATATTTATCTTCACTAAATAATATTGATACCGTTACCAATAAATATCTTTTAATATTATTGTACCGGGTACTTTATAGTTTTATTATTAATGAATAATCAACGCATTTTTATACCAATACGTAGTTTATTGTTAATGAGACTTGATTTAGGTTCGATACCATTTTTATTAAAAATAAAGCCGATAGGTTATAGCATTGATTTATTGTTTGTGGTAGTACGAAAGTAACTTTAAATGTCAAAAAATGTAGTGGGTCATATTATTTTTCGTCTGTGATTTATTACATACAAGGCTTTACTGGTAGATTTACTAGACAGAGTTTATATTATACGAATATTTATTTATTTTACTTTGGTAGTATGAAAATGTTTAGGCAATGACATATATTTTATAAGATATTTTCTTATCCGCGGACAGACTTAACCTGATTTAACCGCAGTCACGTTCTGATCCAAGTTCTCTAATCGGACGTATAAATTACTAACATTTAGGTATAGATTTTATCTTATTTTCGTTTACGTTTCACCCTTGATAATGATAAAACACATAGTATGATCGTCTGGAATATATATTCAAATCTAAAGTACCTAAACTTTATGTACACACATCACAAACTATTGTTATTGGAACATGTACAGATATTTAAAATATACTGTTATGGACGGATAAATAAATATTTAATACATGTGGTCGAAAAATATAGAGTCAGTATTAAATCATATAAAATACAAATGTTTTTATAATACGCAATATTTTGTTCACGCGGAAGAATGTGTACAGTGCACGCAAATACTATTACTTACGGTAATGTGCATTGCATATTCGGTCAGATAGTTTTATAAATGTGCAAGTTACAATTCACATTATTATCCTTTGCCTATTTAATTAAATTTGTTAAATAAATTTTGTATTTTATGAATTGCTCCACCCTGGAACTGTATGCATTCGTTGGAATTAATTTTTTAGCTGCACCATACAACAAGCGAGAGTTACGCAAACAATATGTATTTTATTAAACGTTTTACTGATTATTTGAAAAAAAAAAAAATACATTCCTTTAACACGCTAATAGTTTCGATTAAATCTCGTATACGTAAACGAATGAGTTAACATTTCAATATAAATGTATCCATACAATCATAATATATTTATATAAGGTAATTGTTTTAAATAAATTAACTATTTTGTTTCATAGCGTAATCTGTTCAAGCTTGGGTATTAGCGAGTTAATAAGTTAAAAGTGAAGTAAATTTAATTTATAAACTTAACTTATTTCATAATTGAAATATTAAATTTACTTATTAACTTAACTCATTTCCTTTCGGATTAGCCATAACTAGTGAATATTTAGTACATTAAATTCTCGATAATCAGACAGATATTAGACCAGATTGTTGTCAGATTAATAGAGTTTTATATAAATACGTATTTTTACTTATTGAAAAACCTTAATTTCTTTTATTAAAATTTATAAACGATATATGTATCGTTATATTTTTTTATTTTTAATACTAATATATGACATCTCGTGAATTAATCATTTGATGGTATGGGTTTAATGAAAAAAACTATCAACTTGTTTTTTTTTTTTTGTTTCAAACGATGTTTCTACAACAAAATATTTAGATAAAATACCACCGGATTATTAGACGTATCGGATATTCGAATAACCGGATAAGAGAGTCTTCTATAAACCATCAACTTATTGTGGCGAACAAATATAACAAGTAAGTATATTACTTTTTCCTGAGTTAATACCGTCTCAACGTTTATTCCACGTACAAACAATCGAACAGGGCATTGAAAAACAAAAAACAAAAAGGAAACGAAATAAATGTCAACTCGGAGTTGTAAAACCGCCATCGCAAGAACAGGCATAAAAACTGTTTGTTCGGGCGGGAGTGTCGTAAAACTAAGAGAAAAAAAAAACATAAGCGACGTTTGAGCTACAGAGTATACACGTCGCGTATATATATATACAAATGTATACGAGTATATAAAAGCGCGTGTAAACATCGGTCGTCTGTCGATGGCGTGTGGTTTGAGGGGGGTGTGTTAAGGGAGAAGGAGAGTTAAGTATATAATGACTTTTGGATCAACCCGATAAATGCCGTACAACAACGATATGATGTATCGATGTCTCGGACCATAAATGTATACGAGTGTACACACAGGTACAAATCGCACACTACTCGCGCTCGGGGTGCCAGTGGAAACGTGTTACACGCAACGACCCCTGTTTTCCGGTTGTTATAATATTATCACGCGCATTTGTCGCGCCTCGCAAACATTTTAACGTAATTAAACATAGGGGTTAGGACGTTTCGGGGGTTTTTCTCTCTTACTCTTCTCGCGCGCTCCCCTCCGTGCTGTGTCCGGTGTCCACGTCCCTTTTCGGGGGTCCTAGTCCACGCGCGTCAACCTGAATTCCTCCCCCACGATCTCGGCCGCTTATGAACGGTAATTACGTGTACGGAGGTGCTCGCTTGCGTACGGCATAATATTTCGTTCAACCTTTTTTTTTTGTTTTTTGTTGTTGTTATTGTTGTTGTTGTTGTGCTTTTTTAATCAACTTGAGTACCCCGGCCGTACCATCGGTGTTATTAATTAACGGCGGAAAATAACGTCGGTCATCGTGATTATCTCGGCGTGTCATACGATACGGTGACGTCGTCGCCGCCATTGCCGCTGTGATCGAAAATCGCGTTCCGTGCGCGCTTGTGGCAAGACCCGTGTTCGGCCGTCACCCCGGGCGGCAATACGACGACGGCGACGGTGCCGAGGACATGGTGGACCGCGGACCGCAGGACTCAGAAAAAAGGATGCGTAGGCGCAGCAGGACGGTCAGCTGGGACCACTCGGTCAGATCCATTGGAGGAGGCGGTGCGCCGACCCCGTCTTGGGCCCGTGCGACCGACGACAAAGCAGTGACGCTACAGGTAGGTACGGCCGAACAATAACAGCGCACACTAATGTACGAGTAGGCCGTCCCAGGGAGTGCTTTATAAGCACCCTTAATTTATAGGAAAGCACATCGAGTTCATTTAAAATGCTAAAAATATCGTCCGAAGAGAATTATTTCTGCGTTTATTAGAATCCGGTCTTTGCCAGTAGTTGTCGGTAATACTATAAAGTTCGCTAGTGTTCATATTAGGACGTTACACATGCACGAGCCGAGTGCCCAATGATAATAAAGAAGTAGTGATTGGATTCGCACCGTTAACATCACGAAGATCCCCGCATTAGGTTCTTCATCTTGCCTTTGTATAACGTCTCGTCGATTTCCTTCAACGTTATAATTCAAAATCAAAACGTTTTACGTTAAATAGGTTATAGTTGTAGTTCAGTAAATACCAGCACCTCACAGGTGTTCTCGAGATAAATCATTTTAGGTATCACAAGTTAAAGGCTAAACTTGCGTCAATGACGACGCGACAAAAAATATCATACACATTACGTCACTCCTAGACCACGATGGTCACGAAACGGTACGATATCTTTGACGAGTGCGGGTCCTGTCGCACGATTAAGGCATGTGTACTATATACTGTGAAGTATATGGTATTATTCTGCGAGGATAACCGGCAGAAGATCGTCTAAAACGTAAAAATCACGTCTTAATATGGTTTTGTCGTGTGTTCATCGATGAAGAACACTGTAACGGAAATTGATTCTGGATCATGTTCGTAAAGTGTATACGAATAGTTCAAAAATTTTAAATTTTTTATCATATACATGTAAAGAACAACTAGTTATTTTTCAATATGTGTGTCTGTTAATTAAAGTCTAGGATCGTTTCTTACGGGTTTTAATGATTTTTGCGATTTTTTCGTACCTTTATTGTCTAGTCACAAATACTACATTTTCACATGCTAGACTTGAATTAATTTGATTTCCGTAAATCGGTGTATTTAATCGTTACAATACAGTCATATTTGAAGATGGTAAAAATTTGTATTAATTAAACTTTATTAGGAAATCCATTGCTGATCCCGAAAAACGAAAATCGCGCAGAAAATAAGTTAAAAACTGGAATCTTAACAATGATTTCTGTGTCTCTGTCTAATGCAATTTGAAAACAAGGGGGCTGGTAAAGATTATTTATGGTATTCTTAGATAATAATTGTTTTAATTTTTACCTATTTATTTAGTAGTAACAATTTGGCAATGGGGAGGGGGTTGAACCCAAAAACTCCCCCTTAACCATACCACTGTTTAAAATCACTCGTTAGAATTTTGAATTTCGAAATAATTTGTTTTACTTAAATTAATCGTTGCAAAATGTAATGGATTTATTATATTATTTATATTTTTGCAGTAGCTATGTTATTATCATATCGCAAATTCATTGGATCACGTATACAATGACAATTACATTACGATAACAATAATTTTATCACTATCCCAGGTAATGTTCAGATACGCGTAATATCTAGAATTTTGTTTTTTTTCGAGAGTGTGTGAAAGCGAAAGAGCGTGAGAGAAGGATTTATTCAATAGTTTTTAGTTTATTTTTTTTTTTATTTTTTTTTATTAACTTTTCGGATTCAAGAATAATTTTATCTACCCTGATAATAAAATAAATATTTGATTTGAACAAAACATAATAAACAAAGGCAAGAAACTTAAAAACATTTGGTACAAATTTATAATCTAATATGTTACACTTAACAGAAGCTTTGGTGCGGATAAGACTGTGGGTGGACGATCTCTCCTTCCTCTAAAATAATACGTGTTTGCCAGCATTTCGTATGCGCCACCTGCAGTAGCAGCACGTACATAAACATTACACATGGTATCTACATGTCTGATGAATATTTCACTTGATATAATACGTATACCTATATTTGTTACTAATTACGTTTCATTATTGTAATACATCTACCGCGTTTGATCAAACATTCCGCGAATCATACATTATACATATTACGTATTCGAATATCTAGTGTACACTTAATAAGTGTATAGATACTTAACATTACATGTTATTGGCAAGTAGTTCGCCGTTTACAACATACAAGCAATGTCAAAACAGGGCATTTCCCTTTGCACTACCCCATGATCATCAGCAGGAAACTCAGAAAATCAAAATCAAAATGGAGTGCCAACTTCAGCCAGATTCCTCACTTTGTCCTATCTATTTCAAACAAAAAAACAAATAATTTTTAATCAATTCTAAATCAATCGAAAAATAATAATAAAAATAATCGGCTACCCCTGTTATACTGTATATTCTGTAGTATAGGCGTCTACCATAAAAAAAAATGATATAAGAATCTGATGAAATACAGACGAGTAATTATTAGAGTTTCCTGTTTCACGTGTACACGCTTTCACATATTCCCGTGAAATTAATTTTTTAAAATATAAAAACGTGTACTTTAAAACTTCGTCTACACGTGTAATTATTCACGAGTATACAGGTACGTATATTCAAGTATACACGTATTTACGTATTTAAGTTTTAAGATTTTCGTTAATATAATAAAATAACTTAACTTTTCAATAGGAAAAATAAATGAATTTTTCGACATAAAAATATATATATATATAATAAAAAAATTGACTATAAAATTTCCGATTTCTCAGTTTCCTTGGAATTTTGAAATATCAACCAATGTATTATTGTAATCATATTATAAAGTATATTAGGTTAATAATATCATAAGTTCGAATCGTTATTAATATTAAACTATATACTATCGTAATATCTGCTAACTATATATATGATGTAATCCCACTTATAACAATAATAATATATTATTATTTATAATAATTTTATTTTGATTTTTCGAATTCCCTGGGGATATACAAATTTAAAAATTGTATTTACAATTATTGGGAATTATTTTGAAACCGATAGGACGAAGTGAATGGTCGCGTGAATTTTCTCCACCCCTCCCCTTTTTTTGATTTTTTGATTTTCTGAGTTTCTTGAGGATTTACGAATTTCAATATTGCATCTTAAATGATTTACAATTAATTTACAATTATTTTTTTTTATTTAAAACTGATAAGACAAAGTGGAGGTGCCAACTTCACCTTTCACTGACTAAATAAATAAAAATAAATATCGAATCAGCAATGCGTATAATATTAAACATAGCGAGTGATGAGTATCACATGTCCTAGTTTCCATGGTTATAAAACGTGCTCTTCGCAGTATTTAAAAGTTAATCGTAAAAGCTCATTGCTGGTTGTACTCGTAATGGAAGGTCGGATATCACCCGACGCATTCTTGAACTCCGTTCGTATATACCATTGCTATTCGTATACGAACACAGTTCAAAAATACGAGTCTGCTGTGAGCGTATGTAACGTATTAAACGTAGAACACCAAATCCGGTATACAATATAATGTTTCTACGTTGTTTCAGTTACCCGATATTATCTTTCTTATTGGAAAACTATGAGCATCCATGATGATGTATGGTACGGTTACTCGTTTTATTTTGTTAAATATTTTGAGTTGTGACCTAATGTTTACCGTTTAGGTTTTTTTTTTTTTTTTTTTTTTTTGTGGCGGATAAAAACAAATATTGTTCGAAGATATTAAGTGATACGTTTAAACGTATTCTGTACTTAAATATTATTTATCCTTATTATCTTTTGAAAATATAGTTTCACAAAAGAAATTTCAAAATTCTATGGGAAATATTTTTAGTATAATAAATTTAAAAAGCTCCTGCCTGTCGCAGTCGATCAAAATTAATAAAATATGTTGCATGTGTTATCATTAAGAAGTTGAATTCAATAATAACAAATTATTCTTTTTTTATAATTCGCAATTTTTATTTTTTTTTTCATTGTGTTTCAGCGAAAATTAAATTGGTAATTACTGTAATATTGCATTCCTTTCTATAAACTTAATATTTGTTTATTGATTTGAAATATTAAGTTGTAAGCTAAGTTATTCGTTTTTTTGATTAACTTCAATAGTATTTAATTATATTGTTAATAGAAGTAATTTAAAGTTTACATTGATAATTGATTTCCAGTAAATTTGATTTTCCTTTTAATATGCAAATACTCTGTACTGACTGTTGAAATATTTTATTAAGTGCTTTAATTATTAAACTTATTATTTTTAGTTTATTTATATATTAAATATTAGTTATTAAATAGAAAATACTATATGTATTAGCACGATGGTTAAAACGAAAAAGAGATTATTATTTTTTAAAAACTTTTTTTGTATCAAAAAAAAGAAACTAATAAAATAAAAACCATTTGCTTACATACATTTGTATTGAATCATTCAGAACGTTTATAACTAAATGTGGTACGTGGAAAATAAGCCACTTTGTGTCGTACACTGAACGATTTATAGTTTTTCGTCGAATCATAAATACTCAGTGAAAGTTTCAATGATTTTAAAATCCTATTATTTTTATTATGATTCTTAATATAATCGGAAAATATCCATGAAAAACGATTTGAACGTGATCTTTGGTCTATAAAAATGTTGCAAATTGAAAACAGACGTATACAACCAAAACGATAATGCGAGCATCAAGAGAACCAAGACTAAATATATTAATTGCTGGGAAATCATAGATTAGCTACACGTAATAATTTGTTCATACATTCATAATGTGTCTATGGGCAATAAGAGCAAAAAAAAAAAAAAAAGAAAAATTAAGTAATAGAATATAATAATTAAAATAAATAGAATAGTTACTATATTGTATTATATTTTTACGAATGAATTTTGATCTTATAATGCCGGTTATCCCGTGGTAATTACATTTTTTTAGTTACACTCATAATTCTTAAATAGATTCCTCATACGCTGGCGTACATGTGGGATCGTAGTCGGGCTCTCCAATGAGTAAAAGTTAATGAATTAATGAGGTGAAAAATACTTGAACTATATTGATTAAGTCAAAAAATTATGTTTATTTATAAATTAAATACTTCATTTAGACAGTAAAAAGTT